ACTACATTTTCACTCACTTAACCCTCGTAGTGCTCCACGTGAAAATAATTTCGACGACATATTTTTTTTTAGAGTAATGACCTACATACAAAAAGTTATGAACAAAATATATGTTACAATAGAAATATTAAATGAAAGATAAAATTGAAAGAAATAAATTAAGAGCACCACTGTCGTGACTTTGGCCTCGGAGATTTTCATGGGAAATAATCATGAGGCCATGGGGATGGTGTGCAGTGCTCCTCACGCCTGAATGACCTTCACAATATGTTTCAACATTGAGAACTTGCATTAATTTTGCAGTCTTTTCGGCATGTCTAACATTTGTAGGTGTTTTCATTTATTCTTGTAGAAAATATGAAGAAATTTGTGCACCGCGTGTGGAAGAGTTTTGTTGCATTACCGACAATACCTACACAAAAGAAGAGGTATACTCCTATAAAATCTGTTCTCAATATTAAATAAGGAAAACATTCAGTGCATTGTTATCAAATGAAAAAGCCTTTCATTATTTACTCTTGATTTATTATCAGAAAATGGCTAGAACTTGTAAGCAAAGACCATAGTAGTCTTACTTTCTTATTACTAGTTGGATTCATTTTGCTCGTAACAACATTCTTTATTCCCTTTTTGTATTGTACCTTAAGATATGTGTCCCATCATTCCTGTCTAAAGGCTCATTTACTTGGCAGGTTGTAAAGATGGAGAGTCAAGTTCTAAACCTTTTGAGCTTCCAACTTTCTGCTCCTACAACCAAGAAATTCTTAAGGTGCTAAATTTAGCATAACTACATCCATATTTGCTCAAAGAAAAGATTCCTCTTCATTTTGCTCAGTCTCTCACCACATCGTTTTTTATTAATTCTGTCTCGTAGGAGGTTCATTCAAGCTGCACAAGCTTCGTATGAGGTAGTACATAATAAATGAATGGCTTTTAGTGCAAATTTGTGTTATCAAAGATGTTAATATAAAACCCAAAGGTGATTTGTTCTGAAATGCAGGTTCCTTCTGTTGAATTGGAATTCATGGCAAATTATTTGGCAGAGCTGACTCTTGTTGACTACAGTTTCCTTAAGCTACTTCCATCTCTTATTGCCGCTTCTGCTGTATTTCTAGCCAGATGGATACTTGATCAATCCAAGCATCCGTGGGTATGCACACTTCTCCACCCCACTTCGTAATTCTAGGTGTAGTTTGATATGTCGTAAGTCGTTATAAGATGTAATGTAATCAAGTGTAAATGTAATGTAAACTTATTGTTAAAATATATTTTATTATATTACAAGTACAAGATATTAATGTACACCAAACTGCACCTTGATTATTTATGCTTCGTTTGGTAGGAAAGAAATTGAGAAGAAAAGAGGGAAGAGAGAGGGAGAAAGTTGGTTGTGTTTGGTTTGTGGAGAAATTGGAAAGAGAGAAAGGAAAACATGTGGGGCCTACACACCTTTTGGTTTCTCTCCTCTAATGTGAAAAAATAATGACAGAATAATTTTTTATTTTGCTTTCTATTTTCTCCATCCCTGCTTTCATATAGTGTTGCTTTTGTCTTGTTAAAGCTAACATTCATCTTTTTCTCTCTTATTCATCTTCTGCCAAACAATACAGAAATCACCTTTTCTTACTACCCATACTCTGATTCCTCATTTTCTTTCTACTCTACCCCTTTTTTTGTTATCGGAACAAAACTTTGAATTCATATTGAATGCAAGCAATTAATATATGGTTTTCTCTTGCAGAACCCAACTCTAGAGCATTACACAAGATACAAGGCATTGGAGCTGAAAACTTCCGTTTTGGCTTTGCAAGACTTACAGCTGAACACTAAGGGGTGTACCCTTAATGCCATACATGAAAAGTACAAACAACCTAAGGTAACAAGATTATACCGCTGATATAAGCCCGTAGAGCCTATTTGGTAAAAACTTTGTCAATCTGATTCTTGAGATTGTAGGATACAAACGTTATAACTAGCTTTTTACATGTAACAATTTGTGCTGCCTCCGTCCCAAACACTTTCTTAGTTGTCCCTAAATGAGTCTTTAATTTTAATCAAGCAAGGAGAATTTGTCACGTAATTCGCCAAAGAGTCAATATCATCATCTTATGACTCTTACATGAAGAGTCATTATCTTCTTACCAGAAGATAATTCTTCGTGTAGGAAGAGAAGCATCATCATCATAATTATCATTGACACCTGAATCCCAACTATTTGGGGTTGGTTGGTCCTAAATTTATAGCGCCAATCAGTTTCACACAACGTTCATGCAAAAAAGCCTAGCAGCAATGCTTTACACTGTATGCCCTTCTAGTTACATGATATGCAAACAAACAAACAAGTTTTGAAACATATAAGTCTTATTATAGCAATCGTAATTTGAAGAGCCACATGAAAGTTGCTACATCATAGTCTATTAATGCCAATGATGTCTTATTAATAACTAACTATATGTCTTAACTTTTACAGTTCAAGTCTGTGGCAACCTTAACATCAACAAAAGCAGTTGAATATCTGTTCTAGCAGTAGACTACAGGTGTCTATTACATAAAGATGTCCATGTCGCGTACAATACAAAAAATGTCTCATAAGAGCTCTCTCATTCATTTGTTCATCCCCCCTCCCACCCCAATGCTCATTGCATCTGTTAGATCCATTTTGGCACAGACGTTACGCTTTCTGTAACGTGGAAATATCAGATGCGCAATCATTTTCAAAAAAAAGAAGAAAAGAAAATGGTGCTATTTAGACTGTATTTAGGAACGCCTTGTAGTTAAAGCCGGAATTCAATAGCAGCAGATGCATAGCTTAGTTGCTGCCTTATATTAGGAGCTAGCTGTCTTTTAGCTCCTTGTGTAAAAACTGTTCCAACTCTTTATGCTATATATTTCTTCTTCTTCTCTTCATTGCAGTATATACTACTTAGATCATTCTATGGATTTTTTCTAAGCCTAGAAAAGCCTTGTTTGTTTGAACAGTGAAGTCCAATACAATCAACTGTTAAGGCAGACATAGTGCTTGTTTTGTTCATAACTTTGAAAGGGATATGCAAATGATCTTTCCCTATTTATTCATTTAATAAATTAATATAGCTATGTTGCCTCTTGTTTTGTAGTATTTTTTATGATAGTTTTTTAATATGTAAAGATTATTTTTTTTAATTCCACCCCGATTCTCTAATGAATTGCATTAAAAATAATTTTAAACAAACATCGTGAACTAAAATAAGCAATTTAAATTGAGATGGATGGAGTAATTTGTTGTATTAATATGCAATGCATTTTTAAACGATTAATGTTTATAATTTGTGTAATTTGGCAACAAATTAAATTAGATGAATAAAATGGCACAAAAGTGTTGTAAAAATATGTAATTATTCTTTTTATTTCTATAATAATTTTTATGTAATTATACTTTTTATTTCTATAATAATTTACAAATAATATATTTTTACAACAGACAAGATTTTGTATGTTGTTTGAGCGAGACAAGATTTTTGAAACGAAAGGAGTATTATCAAGTGTAATTTTGGAAATATTTATGAGTCTAGTACAATATGAACTCTTTATTTGAGGTAAGTTTATGCAGATCTTAATACTTTACGAGTTTGTTCTTTTTGTTTGAGATAACTAGTTTTGATATGATTTTACTAAGATTTGAATTCATTTGGTGATTTGATATTGATTTAAATTAAAGTTACAATTTTTAATAATATCTGGTTTGATTTGATAGGGTTGAACCTATAATTTTATTACAATGTACTATCTGTTTATACATTGTCAATCTATTAAAGCTCGTAGAGTTACTGCATGCACTAGAGATCAAACACGCGACTTCTCATTTGAGATAGCCATAGCGGTACCGTTGGACTACAAGATGTTTGACTACTTTCTGATTATAATAAGAATAAATAATAAGATTTAATTGAAAAGAACAAGCTCGCATGTTGACTACACTTTAATAACTAGTGCTCCCATATGTTAAACTGATTTTTGAAATACTCATTAACATTCTCTGATTCACAATGAGGCGATCTTGAATAGATATAAACTTAAACATGTGTTTAATCTTCAACCTTCATAGATTGTATATGGTTTCTACACTACCTTTTGCTCATTGAAACAAATCCTGAAACAATTGTGTAGATTTTTCTTCTTATTTTCCTCTCCAAACAAACAATTCAATATAAATGCCTAAATTCTCTTTGAATATGTTTGGTATAGTCTAATAAATAATTGTTATGACGGGTGAGGAGTGCGACTAAATTATTGTGATGGATTAAAGATATCCTACAAATTCTTGGTCGTATCAATATTTGCAATTGGCTTTCAGTGAAGTAAAAAATGATGTGTCCGATTTCAATAAATACATTATGTAATAAAGTCAAAATTGTATGCTTAAAATTTATACATATAAAAGATAGAAAGTGTAGACTGCCAATAATCAATATAGACACATCTTTATAGAATAGGCCAAAAAAGAAAAAACATCAGCTTTAGATACATAGTATAGTAACATGCACTAAGAATGAATGGCAATATCAATGTGGAAAAAAAGGATTCAATTTCTTGCATGTTTGTCAGTTTTATATCAGTTTTCCTCCAACTTTTTTTAGCCAAATGCACATCACTCATTCACTCTTTTCCACAATTACCCAAAGACTAAAAAATGAATTCATAACAATTCCATCCTTACCAAACATGATGCATTCCCCTTTAAAAGCAAAAATGGCATGTACATATACACCATTATCATTCATCAATATGGTTCCAAATGACACCACCTAAAGCCAAAAAAAATTATTCAAAAAAAAAGACTAGTGAAAGAAATTAGTTTTTTTTCCTTCAAGTACTTCTTTACATACCACATCAAGTCACTTCCCATACAAACTTCTTGAGGAAGGCTTAGTAGATGCTGATGATAACAATAATGATACAACAGAAGGGCAACTATAATAAGTTACAACACAAAAGGGGGGGCAAAAGTAGTGTGAATTTAGGAAACCATGTAACATCATGGTTCTTAAATTTCCTAAACCAAGGTTGTCGATCAAGATGGAAGCCGTGGTGGGGTCCTCTTATTCAACAAGCCATTTTAGTTGCTGAAGGTGTTACCAGAACGGCGGTGTTCCCTGCTATGGGCAGCAGCTGGGCCTGACTCTCGAGCCGTTCCCATTCTTTCTTGCGCTTTAGGGCCAGGGAGGCTAACTTCTGCTGCTCTTCCTTGTATTGGGCCTGGCAGGCCCAGAATAGCTCGTCGTCCATTTCAACAAACAGTTTCCTTATGTTCAGAGTCAGGCTCTGGACGGCCTGGTTCCAGTGGGACCGGGCGTTGTTCTCCAGGGCCGGGAACAGGATGGGCAGTATGGCATGTCGGTTGTGTGCGATCAAAGTGACAATCTGGTCATTGTTCCATAGGAAAAGAGCCCTTTCTGCTACCTGCACAAAGTCTTTATATGGTTAATAAACATAGACTATTTTTTTATGCATTTTCTAATTTTCCTTCCTATTTTACCTTCGTTGTACTACCGGATTCCAAAGTCCATTTGAAACACGGGAAATGCTAGCACTATGTTTGGTTCAAGTAATTTGAAAGGGAAAAGAAAAGAAAATGAGAGAGAAAAATATTTTCTTGTTTGGTTAGAGAGGAAAAGAAAAGAAGCGCCGCAGAAAATGAAAATTGGAGAAGAAAATCCACAAAGAAGGAAAGTGATTTTCCTTCCATTTTGGTGAGGAAAAAGAGAAAACACCTAACTTTTCTTTTCTTTTTGAATTCCACGAACCATAGCGTAGGGGAAGAAAATAGGGAGGGAAATATTGATCCAAGCATACCCTATACGAAAATAGTTTTCATATTGAAAACTACTTGTGCAGCATAGGGGTAGAAAAAAGAAGAACCATTCTGACCACAAAAAAGAAAACATAATTACAACTTTGGCCTTTCATATTTACTCATCAAGGACCTCATTCCATTGCAGCATTACAAATGCATCTACAATTTGAAAGCCAAAGTCTGCTTGGAACTAGGAAAATGCTAGGAAAAGAAAATATGGAAAGTGTAGGGGAAATTTAGATTGGTAGAAAATGCGTGGGTGAAATGGTGAATAAATATTTATATTTTCTCAAACATTTTTTTAAATCTTTTTTATTATTCCCTCCATCCCAATTTATTCTTCTCATTTGGATTTTGGAAGAGCGTGCAAAATCTCGTCTCTTTTAAAATAATTTTATTTACAAACTGGTATGGATGTAAAAAGTACAAATTGCACAATTCAAAACTACATCAAAATTTCTACAAAACCAGAGGTGACAAGAATATTTTATTATATCAAATGATCAATGAAAAAATGCACAAAACACAAGTTATTGAGAAGCCGTAATAGTAATGGGAAAGATTAATTAGGGACGGGGGGAGTATATAAAAACAAAAACCTAACACATGTAGACCATACAAAAATTATATTTTCAGTGGTAAAACCAAACACCTTGTTGAAAATCACAACGTTAAACATGAAAAGTAATAAAAATGCAGTATTTTGGAAGATGATGTCATCATTGCATTCTGCTTTAAAAAAAAAGGAAAAGTTGTTGCATTCTAATCCACTAATTAGATGCAGGCATCTATCCTAAAACAAAGTGTTGGAATAGCCAAATATATGCAACTGTCAGGTAAATAATGAACTAAATCCAAATGGCTGATTAAACTTCTTTTGCTTCTTACTTCCAATGAAGTTTTGGGTAGTAAATGCTGCAATGCATCAAGGTTTTAACGGACGGATGGAGTACTAACTACTTATTCACAGACTACATCTAGTCCAAATATATTCAGACTAGGCTAGACAACAAAGATTCAAACCAGACAACATACACGTCACATTTTTTAGACGAAGAAGCAAAGAGATCATGTACTAAATTCACTAAATTGATGCCAAAACCAGGTCACCTAAACCCCATTCCCATAAGTTCCTTGCTGCCTGCATTGACTCCTAACTTTTAGCGCCAAAAACATAAACCAATTCACATATTCGTACGATACTTAAAAAGTCTAGAAAACATGTAGCGAGTAGATATGTGGGACCTGTAAAGAAGATATTGGAGTATGACATAAAAGGATAATAGATTACCTGAAAATGGTAACTGCTTACGCAGCACCCAATCCGCCAGAACAACGGAACCATTATCTTTTGGAATTCATCCATTGTAATAACTTCAAGAATCTCTTCCACCTCACCCAAGAACATAACCTCCTTCTGGCTATTTGTGATTGGCCAGTAGTCTAACAAACCCCGAATCACAATGCTAGCTAACTTGGGATCCTTCTCTATGAACTGAGAAACACAATACGATAACTGCTGAAAATAGACAGCCAAAGATTTTGGTTTGTGCAAGGGGATAAGAGCCCTCCACAAAAAGATCTTATGCTCTTCCTTCAACGGCAATGCAAAACCAGTAATGACACTCCCAAAAATTTCCAACATTTCAGAAATCCCATTGTGTTTCTCAGACTCAATCACGAATTGGTAAAACACATTGCTTATGCTCTTCCTGATAAAGGGCCGGTGGACCATGAACTTCCCGTAAATCCTATGCAAAATGGCTTTTAAGCACTCCCTTTCCCTCGGGTCTTCAGAATCAAACAAATCAAGCAATCTCAAAATGAAGGAATGATTAATGTACTTCTTCGCAACCTTTGCTTCTAGTGAAGAAGAAGTGACAAACCTAAGCAACAGATCATACATGATTTGCAAGTGGGGCCACGCGGGGTCAAAAGTCGGCTCGTCATCGTCGTTTTCATTCCCTTGTCCGTTGGATGACCGATAGTTTGGTGGGAAGACACGGAATAAATTAACAGCACAAGTCTTACACATTGCATGAATTGCAGGCTCAGTGAATTTCGGTGGATTAGAACAAACGAAATCCAAAAGCTCAATCAATGTGGCCCGTTTCAGCTCCTTCTCGGCCGTGTTCTTACTGGGATCAGTGAAATCGAAAACTACACAGCAGAGGCTTAACTTACTGATGAAAAGATTCATCTTTTCAGAGGTAGGAACATCCTTAAAGGAGACCAGAGGTTCAATGCCTGATATAACACTTGCAGGAAACACAGCAGAAGACATCTTCCTAGGCGTGCTACCTGCCCGGCCCAAACCCCCATTTGAGTCCGAATTGTTCCTGGGAGAATTCACTGAATCATGTTTCACTGATTTTTTAGGAAGCTTACTCAGTAGATTCTTCCACATTTCTCTTCCTCTCTGGTTCAACACCAAACAATGCAACAATACAAATTTTTTTTTTAAAAAAGCTAACACCTCAGACCCTAGACCTCAAATTAAAGATCCAATGCCCTAAATCCCATCGCGGAACGGGCAGCATGACACTGCAAACAAGAAATCCGCCAGTGATGTGATCCTCCAACAACGATTTATCGATTCGGGTCGAAAACCTGGAAACCTGTCATCAATGGGTAGACATGCTTTCACACGGAAAATGCAGAACAACCCGAATTCTCATCCGCTCTGCCATGACAACCCAGATCTTGATTGCGTGCACGTATTTCTATGTAAAGAGATAGGGGTGAGGGGGGGTGGAGAAACGCAAGAATGATGATTATGGTGGGGGTGAATCGAAAGATGGAGACTTTTTTTTTGAAATCACGAGACTATTATTTGATTGGATTATTCAGAGAGATGGAGAGAGAGAAGAAGAGATCTATGGAATCTATGTATGGATGCACACTCATCGCATCATAATATCATATCCTATGGGTGACAATGTCTTTATCATGCTTTCCTTTCGTATATCTTTTTCTAACTCCTAAATACGGACGGTTTTTTCTTTTTGTATATCAATCCCTATATGTTCCATACCTAGTGCATGAATTTTAATACTTCATCCGTCCTATAAAATATTTCTTGTTTCAAAAAATAGTATGTTTTTAAAATGAGTAATTTTAGTGTTATTTTTTAATTATGACTAATCTATTCTACACATCTCATCCTACTCTTTTATAAAGTAAGGACAAAATTAAAAAATAATACCAAAATTACTCATTTTAAAGGCGCATCTTTTTTGAAACAGGAAATGTTTTATGGGACGGAGGAAGTATCTCCCAATATTGATGAAGCCAAAATAGATATTAAATTTAATATGTTAAGAAATCATAAATTTTTAAAATAGAAGCTTTTGATATCTCTCAAATATGAAAGATATCAATATTAGAGTTTAATATTTCTCTCAATCGTTGATCACTCTGCCACCAGCGAACTAATATTGTCATTGCCAACCACCTTTCTTTTCGGTCACCTCCATTATTACTAAATAAATCATGATTACAAATCTCTTCAAACAAATACGAATATGTTCTAGGTTTCAAAAATTCATATCTTTTTTCCCAGATATCGTAACTCATAACTTATGATATCTCCAAAACTCATCAAACAGGCCCCTAATCGTTTCATCATTTCTTTTTTAGCGCTAATGATTTTATTATAAATATAGTTCTTGACTCCATTGGAGATCAAACCTGTGATCTCGTAATTAGAAATGTCATGTTTGTGTCATTGAATTGTAAGATTTTTGACAATTAGAAAAACTACTTAAATGAAACATAACCTTTTTAAGAGTGTTAAAAATAAAAAATTGTTTTGACCCTAATAAGGAAAGCAAATGGTTTTCTTTTTTGTTTCAATACCTCCTAAATGGCTTCATCATTTCATTTTTAACCCTAATAATTTTATTATAAATGTACTTCTTGACTCAGTTGGAGATCAAACATGTGATCTCCTAATTAGAATCGTCATGTTTGTGTCATTGAATCAGAAGATCTTTGATAATTAAAAAACAATTTTAATGGAACATAAAATTTTTGAAATTGTTAAAAATAAAAAATTGCTTTGAGAAAAATAAAAAAATTTGATAATTATATATTTTATGAAAGGAATTAAGTTTTTATTTTAGAACAAAAAAGCTCAATTATTTATTTTAGGATAGAAACTAAGTAGATGATAAGATTATACACACACACACATATATATAATATTTAATAGAAAAAGAACACACATATATATATATATATATATATATATAGTACTAAACCATAATGAATTTTCCAATCTAGTACCATATACATTTTATTTTCAAATGTACATCGCTCTATAATGTTATTGGACATTGTTTAAGTAAATGTCCACCATCACCGAACATTGTTCAAAGTAAATGTCAACTGCCACAGAATATTGTTCGTGCCACCGGACCTTATTTAAGTACGGAGTACTATTTAGAGAATATAAAAATATGGTACTAGATTGGAAAAAGATATATATATTTTAGTAGTATTTAGTATAAATTTCACTAGTTTTTATCTAATTTTTCAAACCTTAATAAAATCAGATTAGAGGAATATAACATGCTACGATTGAACTTTCAGTTAGGGGCTGTTTGACAACTTCTGAATACGTAAGTGCTTGAACCAGTAAGAGGTCTGAACCATTAAGTGCTGAACCAGTAAGAGGTCTGAACCATTAAGAACTAGTATATTGCTTAACTATTCAGAGGCAAATGTCTGATCAATTTAGATAATAGGTCTTAACCATTCAGACTCTGTATAATACTTAACCATTCAGAGGCAAAATCTCTTAACCATTCAGACATTTGAACGATTAAGAGGCTGAAACAAACAGTCTGAACTATTAAGTGCTGAACCATTTAGACATCTGAACCATTAAGAGGTTGAAACAAACAGCTCATTACTCTTAATACAATCAAAACCCAGCCTGTAAACATTGGGCCTCTTTGTAGGCCCAAAATTACACTAAAGTCCGAACACTTTACAAATAATTTCCCAATTCCAACAAAAAAGGGTCGACCCGGCCCAAATCACATCCCAAAAGAAACGCAAGCAGCCCTAAAAATCCCTCAGAGAGATCTGAAACCAGCAGATCTGAACTTACTCCACAGCTACCGCATCGAGAGTGGAGCTTCACTCTCGTCGTCGTCTCCATCAGTCTTCTTTCTGCAGAAAAAGCGCCGCCGAGAGCCCATACCCTCGCCGCAATCGCCGGATTCACACCCGACGACTGCCGACCGATTCAGAACCAACCGCCGAAGCATGTTAGTGTCCGACTACCGCAAACTATCTGAGAAATATTTTCTGGTTTTTTTGTGATGTTTATGGGCGTGCATGTGAATATTTGTTTAGCCTTGCTTCCGTTTAAATGTTATTTCTGTTCTTGTATTTCGTCGTTGCTATATCATTCATTTAGCCTTTAGAATTTTGGAAATTGAAGAAATTAGGCATGCTTTTTTGTTATGTGGACATGTTATCGTATCCGTAACATATAGATCGTTCAGAGAAAGCAGAAGTTCTTATCTGGCCTATAATTCTCCCGGAAGTAAATTTTAGGATAATTTTTTACCCAATCTGAACAAACCCTAGAATTAATTTTCATTGCATGACTGAACCCTTTAAGTTTTTACCCTATATGCCTCTATGCTTTTGTGTTTTGACTTAGGACCATTGATCGAATTCATTTTTTTAGGGAGATCATATTTGTTAAGCATGGACAATTTGATGGATTAGATATTTTTTATTCAGGTTATAATGGATCTAAAACATTTTGTTGAAAATCTATTCACAAATCATATAATAAAATCCATCAATTCACATTTTTCACAGGTGAACAATGAATCCATACATTTTAAAGATATTTTTAACGTGTATGGACAATTGAGCAATGCATACAACCATTGTTTGTCATGAATATACGTAGTAGCATTCAATACTGTTACAAGCAATTGATTACCACAACAATCGAGTACAATCACATTTAAAAGTTATTGATTAATTGTGAAGAATTCAAAATATCTGACGGTAATGGAAGATTTTGATTGAAAGCTTAATCAAACGGATGGAAAGCACAATAGTGAATCACTAACCATTTGCAGAATGTAAAATGATTGGCTGGATTGAATCTAAACCATTATTAACGGATGCACACTATAGTTGTTTTGGCATTGCCTAATTGGTATGGCACGCTATGGAGGATGTCTTTCCATTTCATTTTCAGGCAAGTTAGGTGTCGATTTGGCAATTCTTATGTGTCTAGGATCTCCCAAAGTCTCTCAAAAGTACGCATATAAGACCAAAACTAATGAACTTTCCTTAACTAGTACAAATACTGACCTGTCAAGACTTTAGAGGGAAAAAAGTCAACTTTAACCTTTTATAATTAAAGAAGGCAGTTTTCTCTGCCTAAATTGAGGGTTACTTTTAGCCGATTAAACTTAATTTAGTACTATCAACATAAACAAAGTGCATGAGTCTTAGTTAGGGAAAATCATCAACTTTGAGTCCTATTTGCTGAAATTTTCACATCTTTAAAGATTTAAGCCCCCACTCTCAAATGGTCCGACCCATGGCCTTAGTTTGAGTGTCCTCTGCACGTTGCGACTGTCATTAATCGCTACTAATGTTTCTTCTTTCTTTTAACAAATAGTAGAATTTCTTTATTTATTATGGTTTAGTATTACTATTGTTCCACAAAAGTATTTCTACTTTCTATTTTCTTATGTTCCAAGATATGATTCTTGCTTATCTGATATGCTTTTAAGAAAAGGATATGTGGTCCAAAATTCTTTTATTCTAAATAAATTCTTGATCTCCACAAAGTCAAGTGAGAAAACTAATTTGGTACTGAGGCAACATTATTATTCATCTATGTACATATTGTATTTTCAGTTTGTTCTGTTGCTTGTGGAATTTCAAATTGTTGAACATGGCAACTGGATCATTTCAGGATGGCTTTATTACAGTGGGAATTCAGAACATCTTAATTTGTTATATATGGTTGTGTGTATAATATACACACATGCATGCATACACACACAACCATATCACACTCCCATATTGTCACCTAGGAGACTGCCTTATCGTTTAGGGTATGTGAAGGGTGCTTGGTGGGGAACAAGATACATGGGGAACAAAAATAACAATGTTAGTCACTGAGTAGAACTATTCCAAGATTATGAGCCATTTTTTGTATGTGTAAGGATTCTGCAAACTTATTCCACGGTAAATACTTTTTCAATTGAGTTTGATGGTTTAATGCTACATGGTTGATAAGTTGATAACTATGTTGGTGGATGTGGCCTTTTATGAGTGTTCATGCAATCAAGTAATAATTATTAATTAACTACGTTTGAAGTGCACATACAAAGCAATCATGCATGCCGAAGTGCCAATGCAAGTATGCAACATAATATAAAGATGTAAATGGAGAGGGTTCTAGATTGTATGTAAGTATTTCTTGTGTGTTCTAGCATCTGAACCTTATCTTCTGGTTGTTGCATCGTGTACCAGCTATGCACAGAAAGCACCTGATGTTTCATGATTGGCTTCTGTCATGCCTCCATGAAGAAGACATCAAAATGTTTCCTAAGTGGTGTTCCTTTGGGTTGGCGGCTTGCTCGTTCCTAGATAGCCTTCTTGTCGGTGGACTTGAAGGGTGAAGTTCATGTGTTCTTGGAACATATGTGCTCACTCCCAGAGAGAAGGCCATTTGGAATTAGATCATTGTTTTGGCTGTATACGGCTATCAAGCATGTATTGAGCATTTCAATCTTTGAAGTACATGATTGTACAACTGAGCTGCTTTTTTATATTTTCGAATGTTGGATGTCCAGGACTTTGGAAATAGTTGTGCACGCCTCACTTGTCTGTGTAGACGCCATTGTTGCTGGTTTGCTACCCCCTCTGTACAACTGATCAATGATGAGAATATCATTTGAAGGATTACTTATTACTGTGGAATTCTAGTATCAAGCTTAATGCTTACAGTGGACATAGTTCCTTTTTTACAACAAAAAACAACCCAGTATAATCACAACTATGTTGAGGGCTGGGGGTTACCCTTGTTAACGCAGAAAGGTTGTTTCCGCTAGACCCTAAATGCATTGTTGCATTTACTCCCCAAAACTTCAAAGAATGTTAGAAGCAATAGAAGTTTAATATTCCATTTTGATTTATTTCATTATGGTCCCAAAACTAAAACATTGTCAATAATGACATTTTTAGCTCCATTGGCAATTGACTAAAGTGCGGTTATGTGAAGGTCTAATACTGAATGAATCATGAGGTGAAAATGTGCGGAACAAGTTGCAGGAGCATGATAGTAACCGTTAAGTCCACGTGGTGCTCAAAATGGTTGTTCAAAGCAGTTGCTATAATAATAAAAGGGAATACACTTTTTTCATAATTTTTCATTTTAAAAAGAAAAGCAGGAGAGGCCTAATAATCTTAGATAATATCATAACCCCAAACATTATCTTTGATTAATGCAGAGTAATAAAATATGATTAATGCACAATAATAAAATACAAATCAGAGCCATCAGCATGTGCATTCTAAACAACTTAGTTTGAATTGTGGTGGACATTTTGTTGCCAGTGTTCCATAAATGCATGAAGTTCTGATTTTGCTATGATAAAAGGACTTGAGCCAATAATAACATTCAGTTGTTTGTGTTTGGTATCTTGACTTGACTGTTTCAAAACTGTGTTTGATTTCCTTCATGTGATGGGCTGACTGTATAAAGTTAAGTTGCTAATTAAGTTAATTGCCACTGTCTTGAGGTGAACTTTCATTACTTGTGTGTTTTCCTCTGCCTGTAGATTGTGCTTCTACTATCACATTCAGCACTGCAACAAGTTTGGTTATAGGGTGATTTGTGTATAAAATTTGTAAGAGTCACGAGTCAACATTCATGAGAAGAATGTAGTGCGGATAATTGAGAACTAGAACGTAGGCATTGTGACACTCATCTCCGGCCTTAGACATTTCATATGTGTGCTAATTATGTTTTTAATATTTAAGAATGGAAAAGAATTGGTATAAACAAGCTGAGAAATAACACATTTTTCAGTATTCACGAATAATGAGTGCATAATTTATTCTTTACTTTGAACTCTTTTATGTTGTTGCAAGTCCCACAACCCTGCTGCATGCTTATCCAAATTTTGATGTATTTTCAAAGCTTTAAATTTGGATTCATATTTTGGTTAGATTGCTAATTCACAAACTATCGCTAGCTTGATTGTTTCATTATGGTGTTCAATAAGTTTCTGATAGACTAATCCCTTTCTATGTGCTTGTTTTTTGGGTGCAGAGATCCCTGTGGTACTTGTTGATCTAGATCTAGAAAAACTGGTGTAAAAGTTCTACAAATGAGCCTAAGTGAATTGTGTTCTTTCTGTGTTCATATGGTCTGATATATCTAGTAATCTTGTTTGTAAGCAGTTCCCAATATCAGAAGGGCAGCTGAGGCATATGGATCACGTTTCTCATAAACCAGACGTGTCCTTGTCAGATATACAAATGGTTGGAACTATTTCAAATAATACCATGCATGATTTTCCTGTATCAAATATACCCATGAATACGGTTGAGTCTGTCCCAAGTAATGGTAATAGGTTTGATGACTCTTTCGGCCATGCATTTATCAGTTTTTCCAGTCAGCAGTACATGGTGTCAAACCAGCAGGGTGCTATGGGAAATGTCTCCACTGGTGTTGTTGGCATACAGAAACTCTCTGTACCAAGCAAGCGCAAGGCTGAGGGGGAACCGGTGGTTCCCAGCTCATCTCCTCGGCAATCATCATCGCTAGCAAACAAACGCGTTGGGCCCCAGCGTCCACAGATGCAACCAAAAGCCAGCTCGACATCATCGCAGGGTCTTCTGGCACCTAATAAGAAAGCTGCACGGAACGAATCCTTTTCCAGTAGGAACGGCTCACAGCGTCCACAGGGACCAAAAGGACGGGCAATTCAAGTCGACACCGTGTTGAAAAATCAGACTGACTCCTCCAAAGCCGTGAGGTCAAAAATGAGGGAATCACTTGCTGGTGCACTTGCTTTGGTATGCCAGAGAAAAGATGAACCCTCCAATCCAGCTAAGGGCGAGAGTGAAGATAGAACTGGGCTACAGTCATCAGTAGAACTGACAACTGGATTCCCCGAGTTGGCAGTTGAAGATATACCGTTTAGTGATAATTTCTTTGTTAAAGACGATCTCTTGCAGGGAAACGGTCTCACTTGGGTCATGGATCTTGATATGGAAATGGGCAAGGAAATAAATGAAGCTGCTAATGATAAAGTACAAGAGAGAAAATCTCCAGAGGACCTGGCTTTAGTTATTGAGGAAGAACTGTTTAAGTTATTCGGAGGTGTGAATAAGAAATACAAGGAAAAAGGTAGGTCTCTTCTGTTCAATCTTAAAGATCCTAACAATCCAGAACTTAGAGAGAGGGTTATGTCTGGTGAGATTCTCCCAGAAAGGTTGTGTTCAATGACTGCCGAGGAACTTGCTTCAAAAGAACTTTCTGAATGGAGGACTGCGAAAGCTGAAGAGCTTGCTCAAATGGTTGTTTTGCCTGAGAATGATGGTGACATGAGACGGTTGGTTAAGAAAACACACAAAGGTGAATATGAAGTGGAGTATGAAACTGACGATAAAGCTGTTAGTATCGCTGCAGAGATCTCTGCTGGTGCAACGACATCAATCACTACACAATTTCAACGAAAGCCCAAAGTTGCAAAGACAAAGTTAGCTTCAGAGGATGGAGAGAGTCAAAGTTCTGCAGACAGAATTAGTGAAAAGAAACAGGATTTATCAGGCAGTCTGGTTATCCAGACTGATGAGACTGATTTAATGCAAGGAATGATGGTGGATGAGTTCAAGGAAGCAGATTTTCTTTCTCCCATTGTTACCCTTGATGAATTTATGGAGTCCCTTGATTCAGAACCTCCATTTGAGAACTTGCCTGCTGTAGATGATGCCACAAAAAAACTTCCAGTTACTGAATCAACTTCGGAAGGACCTAATAATGCTCTTTTGGAAGACGAGGATGGTAAAGTGATCGAAAATCAGGCCGAGGCAGTCAAAAAACAAATTGATCCACAGCCAGATGTTAAATCTATTTCAAATTTAACTGCAAAAAACGAATTGCCAACTGGGAATGCAACTTCAGTTAATTCTATTTGGGAAGGGGCACTTCAACTGAGTATTTCAACTGCAGTTGCGGTTATGTGCTGTTTTAGAAGGTTTGTTTTTATATCTCTTTGATTGAATGGAGTTTAACATTTCTGGGTGTCATTATCAGCATATTCACCGTTTTATAATACTCCTGATGTATCTTGTAGGTTATGTGCCTAAGGATAGAAGTTTAACAATGCAATGGGTGTTTTTAGTTTTTACTCTTTAATCTTGTATGGGGTGCATGGGTTATGGTTTGGATGAGTTAGTGGAGATGACCAACAAAAAGGATTCTAATCCATGGATTTCTCATATTCATTGAGACCAGATAAATGCCAGAAGGTTACCTCTCATTTGGCCTGACTTTCCCAAATGCCCCTCCTTAGAAACTGACCCTTCTCCTTTCCGGGTCTGGCCTTTTCACGTTGTTTCCGATTTTTTGTTAAAAGCTTCCATTACCTTTACATGAGTCGTTTGGTTATGCCCTTTAAATCAATATGTAAGTTACTTAGGCTAAGCTTATAAAGTACAGGATATAATGATAGCTTCACATAAGTGTGTCAATCAGTGTAGTAGCTTTCTTTTATTTTCCCTCTAGCATTATTATGGGGCTGGTTGCTGACTTGCCGTTGTTCAATGGATGAGCATTGATTCATTGATGTTTAGTATGATTGATTTTTTGTTATGTTGATGTTGACATATTTACCCCTTGCAGCGGTGAAAGAACATCGACTAAGGACTGGAAGAATCCCCTTGAAATCAAGGGTAGAGTCCGACTTGATGCATTTGAAAAATTCATTCAGCAGCTCCCGATGTCACGGAGTCGCGCAGTCATGGTATACAGGCTCATTGAACTTGCAGTGTGGCTTTTCCTTTACAAATTTCCTAAATATCCATCTTTAGAACGCAAAATAAAATCCAAATATTGTTACGGTTTTTAACTGGAACGAAAGATATGGCAGAATCGTGCACCACGATAATTTAATTGTGTATGGCTCTTCCTTTTCCTTCACAAGTCCTTAGAATTTCCCCCTAAATTGTGTTTTTTTCCCTAGCGGCATTTTGTCATACTCCATCCGTCCAAATTTTTACCATACAATTTCTCCTTTCTTGATAAGTGCGTGGATTCCATTTTGGAAACATTTTGTGGGACAAAGGGAGAATATAATTATATGGAGTATAGTATTAGACATCGATTTACTTGAACAAGGAGTGCATTATGACTTGCGCGTGCATACATGGACTCCTGGTTTTTTTGAAAGCCAACAATTTGGTAAAAGTGGTGTTACTTACTATTTGTACCTGTATTCATATTTTTTTTCCTTTTATCTGTTAAAAATTCATATGTTTTTAATAGGGATGGTTGTTTTAATATCTGGCCTCTATGAAATCGTGGTCGTGTTGTGTTGTTATGTGTGTGCCCGTTGTTCGGGCGTTTGTTCCAAAAGGCTTGAAAATAAAGTGTAAACCAAGCTTCAAATAACATGAAAACTAACTTTTTTTTATAACTACTCGGGTAGCTTTTTTTTGGGACCAAAAAAGTCTTTGCCAGACACTACTAATAGTTTTCTTATGACCCAAAAAGGTCTTTTGTCACAAAAAAAGTTCTGTGCCAAACACTCTTTTATACGTATTCAATTCCAAGAAAAATGTATGCACCAATATTTGATTTGGAATTCAGTTTTCATCTTATTTTAATTTATTTGAGAAGCAATGATTCACAGATTTGATTCGATCAATTGTAGCTTTGTTTACATAATTGCAATATATTGATAAAAATATCTCAAAGAATATAAAAATTGGATGGCAACATATGTTTCACCACATAACCCGCAATTAAGGCAAAAGGAAAAAAAAAACAAATTTAATACTATTGGTATTTTGATATTTATAGAAGTGGCATCACTAACTAATACACAACCATTTATTTTTGCAGGTGGTTCAGTTTCTACTCGAGGACGCCTCGTCGGACGATGACCGGAGATGTCTTTCTGAGGTTCGTCCTTATTCCCATTTGCTACTCCATGTGTGTCTGTGTGTATGTATGTATCTATCTATGTATACATATATTTGTTTATGTATATGCATATATGTATGTATATATTTATCTATGTATGTAGTATGTATATATAGAAAGAATGGTTTGTCAATATTCACTGGCTTACGTGCGTAGTGCTACTGTTGATTCCCTTTTCAGGCAGTGGATTCTTACGTTTCCGATGGGAGGGTGGGATTTGCAGAGCCGGCTCCGGGAGCGGAGCTCTACCTTTGTCCTCCGCGGGGGCGGGCACTCGAAATGCTGACCAATCACCTCTCCAAGGACTTCTCCGAACTGCATGGTTCCATTGACGATAATACCCTTGTCGGGGTTGTCGTGTGGCGAAGGCATCATCATCATCCTCCTCCTCACCACCACCTTCATCGTTTGACGTCAACCGTTTCACTAGACCCCAAACAACAACATACCCAACAACCCGTTGCGCAGTCATCTAGGAGACCGCACGAACGAGATTCTGATAATTTCCCGCCGATAGTGTCTTCGAGACCTCCGCCTACCCCGTTGCCCGCTACGAAGGATGACGACGACGATGACGATATCCCGCCCGGGTTTGGGCCGCCCAAAGGCGGTTCTCGTGATGACGATGACTTGCCGGAGTTTAATTTCTCCGGGAACACGTCTTCGATGAGACACCCGCACCCCTACCCCCGTGCCGCGGCACCCCTATCAGATCAAATGAGACAACTTGTACACATGTATGGCAGAACTGATATTAAGAATATTAATAACAGCAATAACATTAATAAACCGCCTACTGATATTGGAATCGAACCATGGAACGACGATGACGATGATGACATCCCGGAGTGGCAGCCGGCCCCGCCACCGCCGGTACCCGGTTCCGGGATTCATCTCCCGCCACCCTTGCAACAACCCCATAGTTTAAGTCACCCAAGAATGCAAAACCCACACCATGTCCCAAACATGTCCCCAAGATGGCCTCCAGTTTCTCCGGGAACCTTCGGAAACCAGCAGCAGCATTATGGGGCGGCAGTTGGGCGGCCGCCGGGCGGGGATTACAGAAGGGATAACAGACGTTTTTGAGACACATATGATGTAAAAATTGATCTTTTTTTGTGTTTTTTAGTGGTTAGTAGAGAAGAAAGATGATAGATTTTTCATGTGTTAGTTTAGCTTTCATGTGAAAAAACAAGATGAATAAATATTCTCTATCGTCTGTCTCTGTTTGGTTGGCTCCATATGACTATAAATAACAATTAGGATGGTTTACATTACTTGTTTTGCTTGTTTTGGTCAAATATTAAACATTTTGACCACAATTTACAAGTACAATTAAATATAAATAAATTCCATAATTGGTCTTTTATAACAGAGAGTTTTCCATATTTAGTTCTATATCATTCCATTAAATAGTACTCTTGAGGTCTTTCTTTTGCGAGTAACTTTTTCACAAATAGTCTTTTTTGACCTTCTGACGTGTTGGTGATAATTTGAGGGTTTAAAATGTTATTTGATATCATTGTTATGTTTAGTGACGTATTTTGATTTGAGTTAGACAGAGAACACAATAATAATGACTATGAATGTAGACTAAGGTTATGGTAAGACACCATACCTATAGACTATGGTTATAATAGAAAGCGATTGAAATTCACAAACGATGCATCTGGAGCGGCCTCTAAAAATGTGTATGATAAGAAAGATATATGATCATTGTGAAATTACATTTTTAGTCCTCAAATAAGCACTAACATGACAGAAGATAAAAAAGAATGTGGATAGGTACCCATAAAGGAATGACAAAAAAGGGAAAATCTCCTGCTATAAAGGACACATTATGAAATTTACTTACGGAGTACTCCGTATTAAGGGCCTGTTTGGGAATAGCTTTAGAGATTAGCGTTAGCGTTTTCAAAAGGCTATCTACGGGCAGCGTTTAGCGTTAACGTTTTCAAATTAATCTGGACCGTTAAAATTTTATCCAAAACGCTAACGCTAATCTCTAACGCTATTCCCAAAAAGGCCCTAAATAGTGTATAATGTTAGCTTAATCATTGCTTCAGTTTAAAGTCTAATTTTGAATATCATTACTCTGTATTTACTTCGTGTACTTATTATACACTATTTATGAAATTGATCCGTACATATTTATGAAGTATCATTTTTCCAATTCATAAATATGTACCGATCAATAAATCAATTTACAGAGTTTTAAAACTCAAACTCAAAGTCTCAAACATACGTTATATTTTTCAAAAAGTACACGAAGTAAATACACTATTTAATACAGTCATGTGTGATCTTGTTTGATTTGTCTTAACATATAGATTATTAATATATAATTTCTATAAATTTTTAATATACAAATTACAAGATAAAATGGATTAAAGAAGTGCATTGGATGATGTGTAAAAATGAAAGTGGACAAATACTCTGGGACGAAGGTAATACTTCACTATTTAAGTAAATAATGTATTTACTTCGTGTACTATTTATGAAATTGATCCGTACAAAAAGTAAATACTTCATAGAATTATGATTAATTGCTCTGTACATATTTATGAAATTGTAACGCACAAAACAAATTTACAAAGACTCATTTTCTGTTCCACTTTTAATACATTGTCACGTAGCACAACAATTGTATGAATTGAAAAAAGATATGCAATAGTTCATAGAATTGTCTTGTGTTACGTGACAATGTATTAAGAGGAGGACATGAGCTTTGGGACAAGAGATCCGAGCCATGTTAACGAGTGTTTTTATGATTTGATGTAATTATTTATTTGCGTCATAGTTTATATACTTGTAATGGGATATGCATTTACTGTCTCATTACAAAAGAAATTTGCACTTTCTTGTTTTGGATATTTCAAAATTAGATCATATTTATAAATGACAAGTTTTTGATTTTGTGATCTTTGTTTTACTCCTTGTTTGTTTTTAAGTTTCTGGTAATTAATGTAGTATCATGACAGCAATAGGGATATTGTATCAACACAACATTGACGGTATTATGTGACCTTTTTTATGCATAAAAAATGACATATAGTTCACTTTATTTATCTCACATTTTACAAGTTTCATTTCTAACATTTTTTTTTATTTGGAAAATATCAAATCTAGATATGATTTTCTGTTGGACAAAGGAAGGAGAGTGTATGAATGATACTCCCCCCATCCCTAAATGTTTACCATATTTCAATTCGTTTTATTTAAATATTGGTATAGAAATAAAAACTAAAACTTACTCCCTCTGTCCATTTTATAACGTCTGTTTCGGTTTACGATGTTTGACTAAAATTATTTTCAAACCATTTTATATGACAAATGGTATAAAATTAAAAAATAAAAATTACATATTAAAAAACTACATCAAAAGATCTACAAAACTAGTAGTGACAATAGTATTTTATTTTATCAAATTGCTAACGAAAATAGAGAAAGAAAGTGAATAAAGTTTGACCTTGTGAATAGTGAACATGCATTATAATTTAAGAGGGAGGGAGTACATATTTAAAACGCAGATAAAAAAGATTTCGAAGTAAAGGTGTTAATAATATTTTATTTTATCAAATAATCAATGAATACATTCAAATAAATAAAAGTTCTCGTGGTGGTTAAAAAAAGAAATGTGACAAATAATTTGGAACGTAAGAGTAGTTGGTATATACAAATACTCCCTCCGTTCAAGAATAAACTTCTTACTCTACTTTTTTTTTCGTCCGGAAACAATCTTCTCATTCGTCATTCTACTATTTTATACCAATTCTTTCTAAATTACCCCTTCTTTTCTACTCTTCTTTTTCTTCTCTCCTCTACCGTTTTTCCTCTCTTCCACTTTTTCTTCTTTTTGCTTTTCTTCTTTCTTCTCCTCTCTCCCTCCGTCATCCTCCTTTCCTCCACTCAATCTTCTTTTCTTTCTTCTTCTTCTTCTTTCTCCTCCTCTCTCTCCCATCGTCATCTCCTCTTCTTCACTTTTCCCCCTTCATCTTTTCCCTTCTTTATCTCCTTCCAGATCCGAGCTTATTTCTTCTTCCAGACTTCCAGATCCGAGCTTGGCAGCGGGCGGCAGCGATGGTGGCGACGGCGATTGTGTTAGCGGGGATGATGGTGAGTCTAGATTTCCACTTCTTCTCCTTTTTCTTCTTAATTTCTTTGAGATCTAAGATTTCTTTCTCATTATTCTAAAATTTATTTCTCATCATTCTTTATTTCTTTGAGATCTAAATATCTAATGGTAGGGCTATGGCGGTAATGGTGGGACTGGAGCAATTATGGTGGAGGGGGATGGTGGAGATGGTCAGAGAATGGATCGATGGTGGAGCTGATGGACACGGCAGGGCTAGCGGCGAGGAGGAGAGGGGCTACGGTGGAAGCGGTGGTGGGGACTTGATGGTGGCAGGGGCAAGGCTGGGAAAGGAAGGAGAGGGGGGTATTTTAGAGAAATTACACCCTTAGTCAACATCCACTAAAAATGAGGAAAAGTCAAAATAGAAAGTTTATTACCGGACGGAGGAAGTAATGTTTATGCGTACTAATTTACTACGCACTCAATATGAACTTTTTTTCATGGGATCATTTCAGGGATACACTAAAGGTGTATTCCATTTGTCCCCCACCCCTTTCTCTACCACTCATTTTAACCCCATTTTTATTTAATATTTAATTTTATTTTAATTTCTTGCCCATTTTTGTGGTAAAAGAAGGGGTGAGGGACAAATGGGGTACACCTTTGGTATAACCACCTTTGGTGTATCCTAGCATTTTTCTTTTTCATGTGATTGCATTGCATATTTGCATGTACACAAAATAATAAAACAAATCTACGAACTCTTCTCATATCCACAATCAATTCATTCAATTCAAGTCAAGCAGGTAAGGCCAACTTGAGCGCCGCCCGCTGCTCGGCGGTCAACCTCGCCGGAAACTTAACGTCGAACGACACCTTCAAGTCGCCCCTATTCCCCGGCTCCTTGGCGATGGGCATGCCTTCTCCTTCCACCACTATCTCATGTCCGGGCCCCACCACCTCTGTCACCGGGACCGCCACTCTCCTCCCGTCCAACGCCGTCAAGTTCACCGACGTCCCCCCGATCGCCTCTGCTAGGGTTATTCTCACGGTGGCCGTCAGGTCGTTGCCGTCTCTCTTGAAAACCGGGTGCGGCTTCTCATCGATCACGAAAACCAGGTCTGCCGGGAGCTGGTTCGGCTGCTCGTTGCCTTTGCCTGGGAATGTTATCTTTGTCCCTTTCTTCCACCCTGGCTTTACATCAATGGATAGTATCTCTGATTCTTCACCTAATCTCCTGCATGCATCAATGGAGTATTTATCTTCATCATATTAATTACCCCATGTGTCCCAAAAAACACTTTTTTTTTTATTTTGAAGGGGTAAGATATGCTTATACACACCCTCCCGACTCTTTTCTCGTGGGATTCTAGTGGGTTGTTGTACTTTCACTTCAGGAAATTTTAAAAAAAGTACTAAAAATTTAAATTGTTGTTTAAATTGATTTAGAATAAAAAGGCTAGTTGTTGAACATATATTTTTTTAGTTTATCAGGAAAGCAAAAATTGTGAAGATTATCCGAAAAAGAAAGTATGAAGATTAATTTAGAGCGGAGGAAGTATTCACTACCTCTATAGAGATCTTCATAACTTTTATGAATATTCTACACTTTTTAGAATCTTCCCCATTAAGGACATACTCACACATCAAATCAGGTTCAAAAGGAGGAGATAGAACAACAAGTAAAATCCCACAAAAGTAAGGCCTAAGAGGGTGAGTATATATGCAGACTTTATCCTACTTAGAAGTAGTGGGTGTATTTGGTTCAAAAAGAGGAGATATGAAGCTATATTTGGTTTGTTACAAGAATGAATATAATGCAGTGTCACAGTCACACATTAACGAAATCATTATAGCATAAATTAATAATATTTTGAATCGAACGATGAACGATAATGTTAGAATGATGGTAAGTAAAATGATAGGTACATACCCATTCGGAAGAAGGACGGTTCGAGAAATTTTCATCTTCCTAGTTGAGCCAGAGTAGAGCTCTTCAAGGCTGCAGCTCAATTTAGTCTCAACTGGATCCGGTTTCACTTTTCCATTCCCACCATCACCACTAGTAGCACTGGTGGCAGAAGTGGAAGAATTCCCTCCTCCTCCGTTGTAAGATGTGAACCTGCTTGACGATCTTCCACTTCCTCCTCCTCCGCCGGATCCAAACCCGAATGGGCTGCTTCCGAAGAACTCTGCAAAGATGTCTTCTGCATTTCGTGGATTGAACCCGTTTTGGAATCCGGATGGGCCGTTTGAAGAACCGGGTGCTGGCATGTCTTTAAGCCCCTCCTCACCATATTGATCATACACTTGCCTTCTCTGTGGATCACTCAGTACCTGCAAACCCAGAATGAAGATGAATGTATATTTCTACTAACTCCATTGAAGTCCAAGTATCTGTTCAATTGATCACATCATTTCACTTGGCATCTGAATAGAAAGGGTGGTGTGATCTTCATTCTCTATGAAACATGCCATCAAACCATTAGCTAATTTACTCTATAATTCTATGAGGTCTGTAAACTTCAACAAGTAATTTTGTGAAGCTGACAATTTCTAGCAATATTTCTATATAATTGGGTGAAAACTAAATTGAATTTAGGCGTAATACATAATATTGCAATGATAACTGGAATTTCATGTGAAGGATTAAAACAGTCGAGGAATTGGGCCATTAGGGTTTGAGAAATAAACGAAGAATCACATGCTGAATCAAAAGGAGAGAACGATCGATAACCTCATAGGCCTCGGAGATCTGCTTGAACATGGCTTCGGCTTCGAGCTTGTTGTTAGGGTTCTTGTCCGGATGCCATTTCATGGCCAGCTTCCTGTAAGCCTTCTTCAGGTCCTCCTCCGTCGCCGTCCTCTCCACATTCAATAAGCTGTAACAATCCATCCCCATTCTCTCTGTATCTACCGAATGTGTGTACCCATCATATGCATCATCCCTGGCCTCGAATTTGAACAATATTGTGAGAATCGATCTACCTACGAGCGAGCATTCATGGCGGAATGCGAAGATGAAGAAGCTATTAAATTCAATTCATTCATTAATTGCTTCTGCAAATTGAATCGAATCGAAAAGGCCGACGTTGAAATTCTTCTGTTCCTTCCGTTTCTGGTTTGGGAAGGAATGAAGGACACACAAGGCAAGGCAACCAATACGCGAAATGTTCTTTGCCTTTTCAACATAAAATTACTCTTCAATCCTCAATTTTTCCCCCTAAGATTTCTAAATTCATATTAAGGGCTCTCGAATTTTTAGTAATAATTTCCAAGTTTAAATTAATCAAAATATATTTTTTGGTTCTTAAAATTCGTGTTATTAAAGTAACGGAACTTTCAATTCTGAAGGCCAAATAGATGGAATGTATCATCGGAGTACATTACCATAAATTTTAATTAAAAATCCCGAACCGGAGCTTATTTTAGATAGTGTGTAATCAGAAAGTTCTTACCATAAATTTTGAAGTATATTTCAAATAACGTAGGACTTTGAATTCTTAATAGAAAACTGAGGGTACTCTAAAATCATTGATTTTTTTTTACTTTTTTAAGCATAAAATGACAGACCAAAAAACTTTGCTTTTTTCTGAATAAAATACTCTATATTCCAAATCTGAAGTCTCATTTTGAATTATAGTACTAATTCAGTTTATTTTTATTTCAATTTATAAATAATAATAATATAATATTTAAAATTACAATCATTTTTTAAAATCTACATCAAATGCTTTATTAAATAAGAGATAACATGCATACATTATTTTAACAACTACAATACTTTTCTTAAATCAACAAAGAGAATACAAGCCCAGACACGCGTCTCAAGTTAGTATCATGAATCTTCCGATTGCTTGGTAGTCGAGTCTTATGATCATAATAGGCATCGTAAACTTCCTTCGGAGGTGAGTCGAAAGTAATCCAGCCACACATGTGTTATTCTGATTGAGCGCCATCTTTGCTAGCCTGTCAGCAACACTGTTCTGCTCTCTCATGACATGCACAATTTACACTCTCCAATTCAAGCGAGTCAGCCACTTGCATTTTTAAATTATGTGTCGGATTGAGGTTCTAATATCGTTATTAGGTTCTTGAATCCATTCAACCACCCTCTTTGAATCAAAACAGATGCTAAAATTACTAAGATTCTTTTACCAATTCCATTCGAGACCCTTGAGGATTGCCATAGCTTCAACTTCCTCTACATGATTTGCATAAGTTGAAAATAAGTTGAAAGAAACTTGCCATAGCTTCAACTAATTAATGAATGGGCAATGTTACGTTCACAAAAAGAAGGATCACAAACTTCACAAACTTACTATTTATGGTTTAAATTCTCATTTTAAAATTATTTTAGACTATTTAATTTTCTTTATTGAAGTTCACAAATGGTAAGTTTGTAAAGTTTGAATTTGTGAACCAAGCATTTCCCTTAATGAAAATAAGTTGAAAAAAATTTATTCAATCTCTAAGTAGTTCAGTAAATGAGACTTTAGTTTTAGGACCATTGGCGTATCTAAATTTTAGAATATGGGGCAGTGGCCCCAACAAACTTTTTTGTTTAAATATACAATGTTAAAATAATTTTTTTAGGTAAATTAAAAAAACACTCCCAATAAAAATGTTTGCCCTTGGTGCCAGAAGAGAATTCTAGTTTAAAAATAAAAATAATCATTTTAATACTTGTTTGAAATTAAACTTATTTATTTCCATCATTATAAATAGCGCTAAAAAGTTGGAGGTGCTGTCGCCGAACCCCCACGCCCCCATACTCCTTAAGATGACTTTGTCCCGATCATATTGGAGTATTACTCTCGCTCCCTCTCTCATAATAATATCCCATGAAATACATTAGCAAGATTATTTAAAGCGATATATTAAATTTTTGATACAAATATTATGATGTAATTTTATACTTTAATGCATTATGTATTCTAAAAACAGATAGTTAAAGTACGATACGAAAAATCGAAAGAGAATTTAAAAAGAATGTAGAGAGTAATTTTTAAAATACAAAACTATATTTGATATGTGTGTGTGTGTCTATGAATATTCGTTGAATATAAATTTTCATTAAAGAGAACCGACATAGCAATTCTTGGTGATTGTTTGACTCTTATGGATTCTTTCGATGTTATTTCTTTGTCTTTTGTTCGTCGAGAATCGGGACTGATTTCCCTCACGAGTTTGTTTCTGATTTAATGGAATGAATATGTTATTATCCCCAAATAAAAATTTCGACAATGACACCATGACACATTAGAATGACATTCTACCGTGGTTTTTGGTACTATATATTACTCCGTAATATTAATGACATTGGATTCTTATTTTGAAAATAAAAAAATAAAAAAATTTCTATTTTGATACTTTCTCCATATTTTATATCCTAATTTAGTCTTTTTTTTTTAAAAAGATGCTTTTGTATAACTTTAGCCTCCTAGAATGAAATATTTAAGGAGTTATTTGGCTTCAACTCTCTTTTTGGTTCATACTATCATCAAAAGCAAATGTTTCACAAGTAATTGGTTTTAGATAATTCGGGCACACTTCTATTGACACCGGCATACAGTGTCAAACGACGATGATACTCGCTCATTTAAAACTTCTCTGATGCTCCGTATGTAAATGTACAAATAAATTTATTTTCCGTTTGTAAAATTATACATTTTGTTGGGTGTAGCTAAATACTCCTCACATTTAGATAGATTCACCCCATTAAAGAGAATTTGACAAGATTATCCTTAAATAAAATTCACATGGCCTCTTTAGGGATACATTCGTACATTCAAAACGTGTTAGTTTTCAAAGCCATTTAAACGTGTTTCATTAGAGCACTGGTAATACCCCTCACGCCCACCGGCGTTCAGCGATGGATGCTGCTTCCCATATTGGATAAAAGTGCAACCCTATAGCTGCAGAAGTCGGAATAATAGCACCTGAAATGATATTATTTCCGTAAAGTAGAGATCCAGAAACAGGTTCACGAATACCATCAATATCTACTGGAGGCGCAGCAATGAAAGCAATAAGAAATACAGAAGTTGCGGTCAACAAAGTAGGGATCATCAACACACCAAACCATCCAATATAAAGACGATTTTCAGTGCTGGTTATCCAGTTACAGAAACGACCCCATAAGTTTTCGCTCTTGCGTCTATCTAAAACTACAGTCACAGTAATTTATTAAGTATATTTAATGATCAGGAACTCCCAAGCATATGAACAAAATAGAACTGAAGAACGCTTGTTATTTTATGATATATAATATGTTCCAATTGATATCGCTGATTTGAGAAAAACCTAAGGCTACGAATAAAATTTTAGTGGAATCGGGATATTTGAACCCGGATAAAGTAAACCATTTATTCAAAACCCCGGTTCATACATCATACACGTTAAGTTTACTCTTATCCTACATGGGAATTTTAATTTATATGGTTGGTGTATACTTTCTTTTTTAAGAAAAAGTTTAAAGTGGAAAACTTACTTTTTATTAAATTTATTTATTTGGATCAAAATATCATACCCAAAATAAATTTCCATGGAAAACATTTAGGATGCAAAAACTTGGATAAAACAAATCCCCCTTTTTAAAAAACGTCCTAAATTGGATTATCTCGATCTGATTACTATGAAACTGACGGAATCTTCCGATTGGACCGTGACACGAACACTCGTTTTCCCAGCCAAAAACCGATCGACGATAAATTGAAAGAGTCGATGATTTATGTTATTTGTTTACAAACATATGTTTTTTTTATGACATTTTTGATAAATTTTATTCTAAAAAATAAATAAATAGCAATTATTTATTCTTTTTAATAATAATTCGAATGAGAAAAAGATCTGGGACGGAAGGATTCGAACCTACGAATAGCGGGACCAAAACCCGTTGCCTTACCCCTTGGCCACGCCCCATAAGTCCAAAAAGTAAAATGAAAATTATTATTTTTTTTGATTTTGAATTAAATATCACTGAAATCACATCCCTATTTAAAATAAAAATTATAGAATACACTCTATGCAACTAGATTAAATAATTCGTGTATTTTTTCAGTGGATAAATTTTTAGGTAGCACTGAAGTAATTTATTAATTAATATAATATTATTCATCTACCATTGTATTTAAAATCTGAATTTTTGCAATATTTTCTAGATGTGGGGCTTAAAATAAAACGAACACTTCAAGTCTTTTTGGTCCCCCACAGTTATTTAAGTTATTTATTTTCATTAATCTGAAATATCGAAGCAGTCATCTCCAATAAAAAAATGCTTAATTTTATTAGTCTTATTTGTATTGATTCTGTCCTGTATTCGAATAGTCTAGTCTTCAGCAAATTGCCCGAAGCCTATTTTTTTTTTAACTCCACTCGTCAATTTTATGCCGGTCATACCTGTGCTCTTTTTTCTCTTCGCATTTGTTTGGCAGGCTGCTGTCAGTTTTCGTTGAAATTTTACAGAAATATTAATTAAGTAAACTTTTATAGTCTTCACTTTAATTGAAACCTTTTCTGGCTGCTTTCTAAAAAAAAACTTACTAGGATTTGGGTTCCTTACACTATAAACTATAATCGAAATTAGGAAAACTTTTACCTAAAATTACTACATTCAATTATTTTTGGAGAGAGGACTTCATTTCGTGGTACCAAACCCGGATTGGATAGATGGTCCAAAAATCGTGAATATAGTCCATATTTTTTAAGAAACCAAGGTATATTTGTAATGTTTATTCTAAAACTCTTCGTGTACACCGTCGTTATCTTTTTTGTTTCTCTATTTATCTTTGGGTTCCTCTCGAATGATCCAAGACGCAATCCCGAACCTGAAGAAGACTAAATATCTATTTTTGCAAATTAAATAATTTTAAAAAATGGAAAGAGAGGGATTCGAACCCTCGGTACGAATAACTTGTACAACGGATTAGCAATCCGACGCTTTAATCCACTCAGCCATCCCTCCAAAGTAAAATGGAAAAGTCCTATTCAAATCTACATTAGTTATACGTACAATATTTAAAGTTTTTTTTCGAACTCTATAGACTCGTCGATCTAAAAAAAAAATGCTTACGTTTCCTACTTAGTGCTTTTGCCTGGATTTTATTAAGACTCCTCGTCTTCTCAGGGCCCGGTAAGCACTCAACCGGGCTATCATTTTGAAAAACATTTCATGATGACCTTATTTTTCCCTCAGTTCAACTGATTTTTCACCGAAAACAGAACAAGTAAAGCGTCCATTGTCTAATGGATAGGACATAGGTCTTCTAAACCTTTGGTATAGGTTCAAATCCTATTGGGCGCGATTTTTCTATCTCTCTTTTTTTTTCAATAATTTTTTGATATTGCATTTATAATGAACATTTCAGTAATAGTAAAATAAAATTTTAGTAATATGTTTTTATATCTTTCCCTCACGTAGAAATCGATCCTTTTCCGACGGAATAGTGTCCTTCAAAATGGCTTCTGCTTCCTCAGTAAATGTCTTAGTCGAATTTATTATTTCTTGAAACCTAGGTTTATTAACCTTTAAGTAATCAGATAACTCACGAAGAAATTTGCCGATCTGACCAAGTTCTAATGAATCAAGATAACCATTTATTCCAGCATAAATACTCATTATCTGCTCTGCGGTCGTAAGAGGAGCGGATTGTGATTGTTTAAGTAATTCGCGTAAACGTTGACCTCTTGCCAATAGATTTTGACTAGCTTGATCAAGATCAGAAGCAAATTGTGCAAAGGCTTCTAATTCTGCAAATTGTGCAAGTTCCAATTTCAATTTACTAGCTACTTGCTTCATGGCTTTAATTTGAGCTGCAGAACCCACTCGTGAAACAGAGCTCCCAACATTAATAGCCGGTCTAAGTCCAG